AGTTACTTCTTTGCATTAAAACTTCTCATTGGCTGTGAGAAATCCAGGGCTCTTTCTAGTGCTCAGTTTCCAGTTCTCCGTCTACCTCTCTTGCAAGATCTTTAGTTTTTTGGCCCTTTGTTTTTAATCAAAGCAAACTGCTTTCAGTTTATAAACTTATCAATTTTTTAAAAAAGAAACTTAGCTGAATATTGCATGTTTAAAAATATTTAAAACTGAAAGTCCAAAAGAATTTATGGGAACTCAAGCACTGCTTTTATATACTGTAGATTTCTTCGAACATTTGGAAACCACTTCATAATGCGTGTCACTTTTTTGCACCAACATAAAATTAATGGCTAGCTCCATTTTCCATGAAGTTTTAGAATCACCCTTGTGTTTGCGGTCTCTTTTCACATGAGAAAACATAAGTCTCTCAATTCTCAATCCTCATTTACATCCTTCAATTTTATTTGCTGGACTACTGTCCTGCCTTTCATAAGGGCAATTCTAGCTTCTCCCCTTACTCCAATCATGCACTTTAGAAATAACCACTGTTGCCTGGAAAAGATGCAATCATTCTGAGATATCATTTGCACTATGCTGTGCAGAAAAGATTCAATACTAAGGGTGATTCGATACTAAGGGTGTGTTCACTTTTTAAATTAGCTACTATTACTTAAACATCAGAAAATATGCATAACCTTCACAATAGAATTTCACCGAGAAGGAGCTACAGATCTCAACACTTTCTGTCATTGCAGTCCTGAGCCATAAAAATAACAGAGAAGTAGACAACACTTACAAAAGTGGAAAGGGCTTGCTTCTCGCGTGTCCTTGTTTCTCCATATACGTAGATGGCAAGAAATGGGCAGTTCCTTTACAGAGTCTCAGCTACCAACTAACAAAAGCATTGTTCATTGTATGTGGCTGTTCTTGGATAATACACAAAGCAGACGTGTTAGGTTTTATGTTTTCCAATGTTGCTCTTGGGTGGATCTCTAAATGTACACACCGTTGTCCCATGACGCACAACCTGCTTCAGTCTTCCATCTTGACTTAATACCTTGCTATTTTTATGAGCGTCAATCGCCCATTTCAAAGTGGTAGTTTCTTTAAGAAAATAATTACAGTGTAAATTAGTCTTCAACAAATCGTAAGGCGCATTTTGGAATTAAATGCTTAGACTTGGAAGCTTTGCTTCCTGATATGTTTAAAACGGTGTGTAGGTTTAACCATAGCAATTCAATCCATGTACTTAGAAACATCATCCTTGCTGTTACTAATCAAGATCCTACGGCACAAATTTATTAAAGGTATACGTTTGCAGGGGATAATAATTGGGTCGATAATATTAAATTCATAGGCTCATTATTTAATTGCAAGGGCAGATTATGAATACAGCGTCTAAAATGTATTTTAATGAAAAACACTACATCCTGACCCAATCCTATCAACCTTCTGCTATCTAATTAAGGATGCAAAAAATCATTAGAGTTGCAAAATATTAGTTCCAGCTCCATCAGGCTGTGAGCTGCCCCTTCATGAATATATATTTTTACACCATGATAAATAGTTAATGAGGTAAAAATGACAAAATTTGCATGTAGGCAAATTAGTCTAATAAAATGATGTCTTTTTTGACTAGTGAAAGTGACCTTTTCCTTATAAAAATGGCTAAAATACTTTGAAATTATCATCTGGCTCTCATGGAACAAGGGAAAAATTGTATGTGTGTACAGTATAAAAATAATAAAATGCAATAATCCCGAATTTTCATCATACTGTAAATGCATTCTGTGCATTTGCATTCATCAATTTAATAAAAGGAAATTAAGCATTTTATAAAGTGTCCATTTATGGGGGCAATTTTTTTTCCAAGTTCATAAAATGGGAGGCATTTGCTTAATAGCTAGCACTGTGGCAAACATCTCAAGCAATTTTTAAAGCACATGGATTCTAGACTACTTATTTGAATACACTTTTGTATTAAAATTTCTTTTCCATTGTTAATTTGATATTTTAGGTAATACGATTGTTCTCAATTAAAGCAACTTTATATCTAAAGATTGCAACGTATATTATTCAACAGGCAGGTAAACCTTGTTTCCTATTGAAATAAACTAAACAAGCAGTGAGAAGCCAACTTAAGAGAAATAGCTCGTGATAACTAATCATAATGAGAAGGAGGCGTTCCAGACCATGACAAGAACAATAAATTAAATAAATACGCATACTATGCACTCACAGCTTGGAATATTTGGATACGCTGAGCTGTCCTAACACCAATGCTAAGAAATAACAGGCGATCCACAGTTTTCTGATGATTTTCATGAGCCTCTTCGCCTGATGAAGACTAAGCCTATTCATCTTGTATAAGGAATGCCCACCATCCATCTCGATACATGAGCTTCTTAAAATGCATCTTAGTCAAACTAACTGCATTTTAACAACAACAAAAAAAAATATTAATCTTAGGCAAAGTGTTTCTGAAGGCCCCGATGCCTTTGATTGCATTTCAACAATTATAGCTAAACACATTTTCATTTCTTTGATTCATTTCAAAATTCACTGATGGAATTATAGACAGCACTGGGTTTGAATTCTTCTCTTTTGAACATCATTTTACAAAGGGCATACGTTCTAAATTTAAAATTAAGTGCTTTCACAGCACCCTTTACTACCATAAGCATCTACAAGTCAGCTTCTCTCCAACTCGTTCTTCATCTTTCACTCTCCCTCCTTCTTTGCCAACAGACTTCGTAAAACATGGATAATTTTGTTTTCCCCTGCTGTTTTTGAATGCTATTGTTCACACAATTTTAATGTAAAAACTTCAGATTACCTCCAAGTTCAGAAGCTCCCAGATGGTAAAACAATGAAATAAATCCATTCTACTCAATCTGGATTTAATGAAGACACTGAAATCAACCTCAGAAGAAAATAGCCTTTGCTTTTTTTTTCTTAAAGGGAGGATAATTTTAGTGGTTTTGGAAATTTACAATTAGCGACTTTACAGTTAATGATTATTTAAAGAGAAATAATAAATCAAAGTTAGTATATGGTGAAGTACTATTTGCTTTGGTTCAAATTAGAAACAATAGTCTTGGCAATGCTCATTATGATGTTACATCTTAACTACCAATTAAGCAGAATTCAAGATGTATCAATTGCATTATCAGTGTTCATGTAGAACTTCTTTTTAAGATTTATTTATTTATTTATTTTGAATTGGAGAGTCAGGTGTGCAGAGAGGAAGATCTGCCATCCGATGATTCACTCCCAAGTGGCCTCAATGGCCATTGCTGAGCCGATCAGAAGCCAGGAGCAAGGAACCCCTTTCCGGGTCTCCCACAAGGGTGCAGGGTCCTAAGACTTTGGGCTGTCCTTGACTGCTTTCCTGGGCCACAAGCAGGGAGCTGGATGGGAAGTGGAGCTGTGGGGATTAGAACCAGCGCCCATATGGGATCCCAGTGCGTCAAGGAGATGCCCTTAACCATTTTGCCAGTGCCCATGTGGAACTTTTTAAAAAGCTGATATTTAAGTCTGTTTCAGGAAGAGGAAAGGATGAGATATATGTTCATTAAACATGTTCAGTTATTCACCAATTCATATAAGCATTCCTTTTTACACAGTAAACGGGATCTGTATTATAGAAATAAAGAGGTCAAGGACATAAAGATGAGGAAGCTACTGTTCTCGTTCCATGAGAGAGTTTTTAGTCTAGAAAGAGAGAAGCATAAGCAGGTAATTCTTGGATTGTGCATTGAATACTAGAAGAACCAGGCTAAACAAATGGTTCTTCCTTGGGTGGGTGCCTGACCCAGCCCAGGCTTTTGCAACCTTTTCAGGGATAAGCCGACAAATGCAAAATCAATCTCTCTCTCTCTCTCTCTCGCTCTCTCTCTCTTTCTTTCCATGAATAAAATCAATACATAGGAATTTTTTAAATGGTAATTTTTGATTCACCTTTTTAGAATTCATCATTTTTTCTCATTGTTTGTCCTTTCGATGAACTGTCTGAAGACTCCCTCCTATGCAATAACAAACGGTATACTGAAGAAGGTATATTGAAGAAAACAGAATCAACCAGATTTTATAAAATGCGAGAAAAGTCTAGGAAACATGGACAAGCGTAGAAAAGCTGAGTTGGGACTTTTATAATTCAAAATGGATGATAGTATCACACAGAAGAGATGATAAGGGTGCAAATGTTACTTTTCGTGATATAGGTAGAAGGCTCATGCCAACTAACTAGATCATACCTGTCAAGGAATTGTGCTTGGGTCTTACTCGATTTTAGATTTTATCCTTGGGTCATTCATTTGGGCGGCATTAAGTCTGTTACTGGATTATATCGTTTGAAACTTAGAAGGGAGTTGTAACTAACAATATGTCTGAGACTCTTCGACGAGGTGGAGGGAACCTGATATGAAGTTAACAAAAGAGCAGTCTAAAGGAGAGAATTCATCATGCACAAATGTTGGAGTAATTGGAGACAAAGAAGAAATTTCTAAGAGGAATGACTACAAGGATGAAGAGAATACGTCTTCCCATGAGAAACTGTTGTCACTAGCATTTTTGTTTTGTACTTTCACAATCTCTGTGAAGTTTTGCCCAACATGCGTACAGCAAACACTACTAACTACTTATATAAATAATAATGTCAAGCTAGGAGAGCCACTTGGTATAGTACCTTACTTCAGCAAATGATAACAAAATATTTTATTGTTTTATGCAGAGCCAGGGGAGAAGTTGGAAGGTTTCAAACATAAAGCAACAACACGTATTTGAGGAAATCGGCCCACAACATTTTGTACATACTTCTGAATTACTGCAACGATACATGTAAATATAAACTATGTAACATCCAGCTTCTAGATCTGTAAAATGCCAACAGCCAAACACACAGTAGTAAGCACCTTCAAGAACAACATTTAGGAACTCACCAATTTGCCCAATTCTTTGCAGATGCGGACCTGTGTGTTGTCAAAAGCCAAATGCGTTTCAAACTAACTCACCTTCCTCCTCTCGCCATTCATTCCTCTCCATTGCTCAGATCTCTTCACTATATAACTTAGCTCCTGGTTGGAAATTTCCAAGTCATGCGGCATAAAGAACTTGTTTTCATCACTGTGGATGCGCTGAAATGCATCTAATACCCATGAATGGGTGCGTAACCTACAAACAAAATCATTTGTTACTTGCTTCTTCACTTTTATCAAAGCATACTTACTTCATTCTACTGAGAGTTAAATAATATCCAATTCCTCTATTGAGCTCATTGTTACACCAGTCTGGGAGAGGAATACAGTTATTTCATGTACATCAGCTATGGATTTTTCTATCCCTAAGTAATACTGATATGAAATTGAAAAAATATTTAGCCCTTAATTTCAAATATGAAATCCAAATGAGTTCAAATGTGAAGGATTTCTCCAAATTTAAATGTGATCTCTTTGTTTCTCTGTAAAGTACCTCAGCGTCTCTGGACCAGTTGAGCCTGCATAAAGCTGTCACGTGGTTGATTGTCTTCCAGTTGGATGACAAATGAACCAATTTGCTGATCTATCTAACCTGAAGATCTCTTGATTCAGTCTTTCCCCCTTTTTTAAAAAAATAAATTCAAATATTAATTTAAAAGAGTTCCATTTTATTATGACACTAACAAACTGGCAGTATCATCAAAAATTAGCATTTGATATCGCTAAGTAACATTTAGGTCAAAGTCCATGTTTTATCTTATCCACTGACTACAGCAACAAGCAGGCAAGAGAACGTCTACTGTATCCCTAATTTTTAGTCCTCTTGCTAAGATGCCATTTGTTTTTTCAAAATTGTGCACATTATTGAAATGTCAGAGAAACACTCTCTTAATTTTAACATACATGTAGCCCACCACATACACCTGGAACTGTTTAAGAAACACAGGACTGAATCTGTAACAGTCCGTAGGAACAATCCCTTTGAGAAGTAAACTGTACAGAAATATTCAAGACACAACATTGGACCCTCAGGACTTAGACGATCCATGGAGGTGACTTGCTACACATGTGAAGTTGAAACTAGAAGCGTTTTGCATCAATGACGAGGAAAATTATATGAGTACTTCTGCATTTAGTGGACTAGACACACAATCACAGAAGTTATTTCCTATAACAATGGCAGTCAATCTCACATTGATTATTAGTTAACCTAACCTTAATTTTATTTTTCACATTTTAATTCACTAAGGTAAAAGTGTACCTTCCTGTTTGTAGCAGGAAAAGAATGAAAACTCAGAGGTAACTCCTAAGTTCGTTTCATTCCCTCAGGCTGATGCTTTCCTTAATAATGGATACCAATTCTATGTCTGAACACTTGTTATAGTACTGAAACAGACTTTTTTAATGTAACCGCAGGATAAGATTTTTTCAAAAATTTTTTTCAGGCTATTTTTTGCAGTCATCACAATGAAAGTAAAAAGAAGGTAACCACTTAGCATAGCTGCTGGCCCACCAGCCATGTGGATGGCTGCCGTCTTGCACGGCAGCTACGGTTCTTGCAGTGTGTGCAGAGTCTAGCATTGCCATGCGGATGACTGACTAGTTACCACGTTCAACAAGAACTAGTCTTCACCATTCTCTTAAGTGTGGTCATGTAACATTCATCTTTTCATTTAACGGTGGTAAGATTTAATGTAAGATCAAATGACAGTCAGCTCGCCTCCATGAACATTTCTAAATGAAGATTTTAGGCACAGGATTATCAGCAGTGCAATTAACTCTGAATTAATTAGGAATCACAGTTCTGTTTCTACTGCTTCTGTTCCTTCTGCCCAGAAAATATCTGTCTTTTTAAAATTTTCTTTCTCCTTCATTCTGTGAAGGAATAATTATGTGAACAGCAAATCCTGGAACCACAGGAGAGTAGCCAAATGCTAGAGGAAAACAGCACATTGCAAACAGAAAACTGTGCAAAGATGAGCTGCTTTAAAAATCATTTCTCTTGTCACTTTGGGTGGCATTTTCCAGTGAAAAGTTGCATAGTGGATTGTTAATGAATCAATTTACCAACCTTTTTAGTAGTTTTCAACATAGTTTACAACTCATAAAGCCAGTTAAGACAGGCAAAGAGAAAACTGTAAGCCAAAATAAAAAGAATAAATCAAGCATTGATGATTCTGAAATTATTCTGTTCATAAAAATCGACCTAGAAAAATAACATGTACCCAAAACTCAATCACTTAATCCTTATGGCTAGAAAGATATTTGTTCTTTTTACTTTTTATTTATGTTTTAAATTTTATTTTTGATGATGCTTACATAGTTGATGGGGGTGGGGAAGGTAGAGGATTAGGGGACAGTGGGTGAGACCATTGTTTACACATTTTCTTTTTCTTCTTCCTGTGTATGGGAGAGAGTGGGATGCAAGACGAGGAACCACTCTTAGGTTCCCAACTGCCATAATATCTCAGGGATGGAGAACTGCTACCCAATGTCATCCCAGGGCTCCCGTTGTGGAGCATTTTCCGAGGGTTCTGCTCATGTGATTTTAATAGTTCTGAGATGCTGCTGATATTGCCGCTCCAAGAATGAGGAAGTTTTTCCAAGTTCTATTGGCTGTCATAGTCAACCACTGAGTCTCCATTTACCCAGAAATTTACTGTCAAGCTTCTCTGGGGTAGTTGATGTGTTTGTTCTGCCCTTCATCCTCAGCAAAGCAATGGGTGCCACGGCCTTCCCCAGCCCTACCCAATACACCCTCATCCCTCATGTACCACAAGGGAAGCTGCAGTCCAATCAGAGTGACCCCCAACACCCCTCACTGGACTGACCCTCAGTTCTGATGCCTGTGCCTGCCAGCATGTGCAGTGGACTGGTTTGGTCTGCCTTACATCCCACTGGGCATTGAAACCTAACTCAACCCAACTGACTCCACCCTCCAGCCCACTCTCATCCCAGTGGGTGCCTCTGCCTGTCTAGCCAGGCCTGCCTGCAGTTCTGGTTCTCATGCCCAGCAGTGGGAATTGCAGCCCATCAGAAAGGATCCGCTAACCTCTCCAGTGGACCCACTCTCTAACCCCAAATATTGCACCCTCCACAAGGTTCTGCAATCTAGCTTGACAGGACTTGTCCCCAGTCCCAGCACTCAACAGCCAATGCTGCAACAAAGCTCAACCCACCTGCCCTTATTCTGGCTTATGCCTGTGCCAGTGGGATATAATCTATTAGTCCAGCCTGGCTCTCCCACTAACCCAGTTCACATTTAAGCCAACAGGTTTTGTAGCCCTTCCTAGCCTGATCTGCCTTTCACGCCCACCAGCATGAGCAATGACCCCTCAGTGGAATCCTCACTACCCTCATAGTAGGCTCACATCCCTACACCATCCCAGTCTTGCATGCACCGGTGGTTGCTGCAGCCCAGTTTGTCATGGCCTGTCTCACCTCAGCATTTGCTGGCAGGAGTTCAGCCTGGCCTGGCCCAGTCTGCTCCAGTTCCAGCTTGTGCTAGCTGGAGTTGCCAACCCAGCCCAGCACAGTCAGATCCCAGTCCATGTCCTAACGTGAATTGGCTGGTGATGCAGCTAGATCTAACCTGTCCTATACTTCATCCTAGTTCTCAGACTTGCCAGTGAATATTATGAACTGGTTCAGCCTTGCCCGTCCCCAGACCTGGGCTACATGTATGCCGGTAGGTATTGTAACCTGGGCTGCTCTGGGCTGCTCCTTGATTTGGTTCTTGTGCTCACTTGCAGGGACTGTGCCCCAACAAAGGAGTACCCCAAGCTCCTCTATTCAATCTCCTCTCTGACAAATCTTATGCACACTGGTGGGTCCTTGGCCCGGGGCTGACTTAGTCCACATCCTGCCCTGGCAGGAATTGTAGCCCTGCCTAGCTGGTTCATACCCAACCCGGTTCTTACTGTTGGGTGTTATAGCCCAGCAACACCCTAGTCCATGCCCTGACACAATTTCCATGTGGCCCAATGGGAGCAGAAACCTAGCCTAGCCTGTCCTACACCTACTCTCTCTCTCACAAGCACCAGTGGATGCTGGAATGTATCTCAGTCTGTCCACATTCCAGACCCAGCCCATGTCATGCCAAGGGACACTGCAGCCATGTCCAGCCCAGACCACCACCCCATTCTAGCACTCACATTCACCAGTGGGAAGCACAACCTAGCTGGGGTGTCCCATTGGCTCTCCAATGAGGCTTATTCCCAGTCTCAGATCTTGCATATGCCAATGGTTGCTCTGATCCAGTTCTGCATGGTCCATCCCCCTGTCTTGACCTTTGCCATTGGATACTGCACCCTGGCCTGACCTGTCCTGCACCCAATCCCAACTCTTGTTGGTAAGTGCTGTAACCTGATCCTGACCAGTTCACTCCCATCCCTGACTCATGCAAGCCAGTAGGTGTGATAGCTTAGACCAGCATGCCCTACATTCCAGCTTGGCTCCTGCACTTGCCAGTGAGTTAATATTGGCCTGACCCTGCTCAATACACACACTTACATGTGTGGACAGGTGGAGCTATCAGACCAACACCCAAGCCTGAATCACATGCTCAACTACAGGAGTAACAGCCCAACAGAAGAATTTCTCTAATTCCCCTACCAGACCCACTCTGAGTCCCAGATCTTGCCCATGTCAAGGACAAGGGCCTTGCTGGTCACAGGCTACCCCCTCCATCCTGCATGTGTATGAGCAGTGGATGTTGTGGCCAGGCCAGCCCCACACCATACCATATTCTTGGGTGTGTCCACAGGTACTGCAGCCTAGACGAACCCAGCCTGTACTCAACCTCAGTATCCATGTGTGTCAGCCAGGTGATAAGTGTTGGGGGGGAGCTGTCCATGGTCATACCTAGCTCAACCTGCCACCACCCCAACTGTAAGTAAACCAGCTGACATTGCAGACCACAGGAGTGGGCCCACACATGCCCCCACAGAATCTGCCCGCAGACTCAGGATATTCATTCTTTGAAGCATCTTTTATAACTTCTACATCTCTGTATCTCTTTTAAAAGCTCAAGAGCCAAATAGAATTTGAAGTGAATTTCTGGAAGACAAAGTAAATATAAATTTGCTAATCAAGTTGGATATTGCTGATATTGATGACAGAAAGGAATGAATGACTGTGTGTATAGCATTAATTACTGAAGCCACATTCAGCTCAAGCTGATCATAGTGAGCATTA